ATCATGAACCGCAAAGTCGATGCTTAGCTGCTTATTAAACCTTTTCTTAAAGGAACTGGGTGTAAGAAGCACATAGACGTTATCCTCCACAACCTAAGGTATCAAGAAGAGGACAACACCACTAAGACTGGTAATCCTATAAGCAGCTTTTTCTTGTGGAACCTTATAATTTCAATAAAATACTGCCAGCTTTTTACCCTACTTCTAATGGGCGGGGACCCAGCTTAGACATCAGACTACAGTAAGCCCTGCCTGTTCAGGAGACTACCTGGTAGGCGTCATAATGCTGCTGGGTTTTTTTGATCACTGGCTTTCAAATGCAGGTGATCTCTACAGAGATTCCATTGCATTCTCTTAGAGACTGTGGATTTAAATAGACCCTTTTAAAAAAACAGACATCTCTAATATATTTCCTGCACGTGCCTTTGGGGCACATTCTGGGTACATAGAGATAAAATACCAAATAACAGGAGATAGGTCTTGATAGATAAGTGACATCTAGAAGCTTGCAAAATAAATAATTTCATTGGAGGGAATATTGAAGAAAAGGTATAGATACTTTTCTATAACTGTACTTTTTAAAGTTTTGAAAAGAGGAATTGAGAAAGAGATCAATATTCTTATTTTTATCAATACTCTCATAATATCATAATAACCTATCTAGTTAAAAAATGGAGACCAACTTTCTGGCCAGTTTAAAAATCAGGAGAAGTCAAATTAAGGGTTGGAGATGCCGTTTTTATTACTTGAGAGTAGACTGGAAACTTACTTTTGTTTTCCCTGAATTGCGTGAATTTGTGCTTAAGCTTTTCGCACATGCAGAGGAGGCAGGTGGGTGTGACGCAGCTTGTGCCCAGTCAGGGAGAGAGGCACAGGCCTGTGTCACACCCAGTGCTCTCCAGCAGAGGTGCTAGAGAAATACTACAGTCTGAGTGATGCTGTGGATCCAGCTTCCCTGGAGCGACCAGGAGGGAAGAATGATGAATGTATTTTAAATTAAAAAGACAGAACAGCTCAGACAGTTTCTGGGCTGGGTGATAAATTGAAATCCATAAATATAGCTGTGCTAATTTGAAGTTCCATAATTGTTTGTGCCATGAGAATGTGTATATTTAAAAGGATTTTAAAAAGCGATTACTAGAAATACCTCCCTTGAGAGCAGTATTAGCCAAGGGGCATTTCCAGTCCATGAGGGTGACATAAACTCAGACTTCTTTATATAAATTAATGGTGGGGGGGTTATAAATAACTGGGAAGAGGTAAGGATTTGAGAGTTATTAGCCTGAAATATAACTGAATGCTTTAAAAAAAAAAGGCAGGGCAATTTTTAGAAAGAGAAAATACAATTTTTAGTACATTAAAAGCTTCCAGGCTTTCAGGGTATAACCAATTTTTTCTAATCTCTTTAAATGCTTTTCTACCTATTGCCTTAATATTAGGTGCTTCCTTATAGGGCCTCCCAAAATTATTTACCTAGAGCTCCCCGATGAAAGAAATTACTTTGGGTTAATTTGTCGTAGAGAAAAAAGCAATAGAAATACCAAGATATTAACAATTTCATTGAGTAGCAGTGAATGTCAGTCACAGTTTCATCTCCCCATTGCTTGGGACTGTGCCTTCAAAGCAGGTGACAGGCAGTAAGGTGGGAGCAGCTTTATAAAACTGTATAAATCAAATTTGGCACATTTTATCTAATGGCCGAACCACGTTTCTTTACTGTTCTGTAAAATGGACTACATCACTGAAAATTGACTCGAGGTAGTTCTGTGACTTTGGACACAGGCTTTCTGTAGACATGGCCCTTCACACCTGCTGGTGTGGACACCAGTTTGTACAGACAGTTGCTACGTACTCTGGCTCAGGGTCACAGGAGAGTTTTGATTACTCATCAAGCTGCCAAATTCTAATTGCCCTTGTCAACATAGTTCATCGGTTGCTAAATTGTAAATGAGCTCTACATATTCTGGTTGGAATCATGTCCCCTATACATTTTCAAAGCCTTGAGTAGTTTCACTCACAAAGAAGGACGAAGGCCTCTTCTCCAGGGATGCAACTCAAATTAGCAAAACGGAACTTCAGACTTTCGAACCTTTCCCCTCCTCAGAATTACAGATAGAGTTCTAGACCAAACAGGGTGATATTTATAGATTTATTGGTCTTACTGTTGGGATACATTCAACTGCCCTTCGTTTCATTTCTTTTTCTTTTCTTTTTTTTTTTTTTTTTTTTGAGACAGAGTCTCAGTCTGTTGCCTGGCACCATCTTCACTTACTGCAACCTCAAACTCCAGGGCTCAAGCCATCCTCCTGCCTCAGCCTCCCAAGTAGCTGGGACTACAGGTGCCTGCCACTGTGCCCAACTAGTTTTTCTATTTTTAGTAAAGCTGAGGTCTTTCTCTTGCTCAGACTGATTTCAAACTCCTGAGCTCAAGCAGTCCACCTGCTTCAGCCTCCCAGAGTGCTGAGTGCTAATTACAGGCCTGAGCCAATGCGCCTGGCCTCACTGCCCTCTCTTTTGCCCCGTGAATGTACACAACCACCAGCTGCGGTAGCCTCTTGGGGAAAGGAAACTGACTGCCCTGCCCTGGTCTTCCTCCGAGCATAGCAGGCATCCAGCACGTGGACACATCTTTAGGATATAGGCCTAGAGTGCAGCCAGCATCCTGTGGGCTGATGCTGCACTGTCCCCAGCTTTCCCTGGGCACGTGGGGGACTGTGACGTTCCCACTCAGCCCTCTGTATTCTGCATCCTGTCTCTGATGTGGTCCCACAGAGATTCTTCCAAATCTAAATGACTCTCTCTTCTAAACTGTCTTTTTGGTGGAGGTTGGGGGGCCACCTCTCCGGGAACCATAGTCTGTCACCTCATTCTTTCAGCCTGCTCTGTCTCCTAAATACTGTAAGCGCTGCTAGGGGGATTCAGTAAGGGTGGTAGCTTCTGACCTTGTGAGGGTGGAACTTGCCATATGGAGCTTGTGCACCCTGTCCCCGTCCCGAAGGTGGCAATTTACCCCCCCTTGTCACTTCCTCATGCCCAGGCTCCTCCATGATAGCCACCTAACTCCTTATTCTTGCCTCCAACTCTCTCAGTGATGAGGTGAACACCCTTTCTCTGTCCCTCATCCCTGCAAGGTCAAGGCCCAGCATGCTATCACTTGTAACTGCCTCATGGGAGCTGAAGGTAAGCCCCCAAATTTTGCCAGATTACAGTGGACAAATAAAAAGTGACTCTCAAATAGCAATTCACAAATGCATGAAATGTTTTGATCTCTAGACAGACTGCCAGAATTCCTCTTTTCTAATTCCTATTTGTAGTGATAAACTTTTCCTTTTTGTGATTTTTTTTTAAAGAGAATAGTATAGCCCTTTGAAACAATTACGGTTCTAATTCATTGTCACTATTTTCTATTTGACAAGTTCCAACTCTTTCTCAATTATTGTATTCAGTTGTGCACTAGTGTCAATAAAATTGACATTTTGTGAAGCAATTTCTGGCCTTTTTCTCTGGGGTTCTCTGGGGTCTGGTGGTGTGTGGGGTGAATGGGGTCTTTGATACAGGGCTTCATTTTAGTGAGGTATATGGAAAAAAGTGAGGATTTCAAAGTAGAGGGATTTTCAAAACTCAAACTTACTGAATCTGCTTTTTCCTCACATTTTCTAATCTTGTTATTCAAAGATCATTCTACTGACCAGTCATCAGTGGGCAGGATATCTGCTTTTTGTTGTTCTCTGGATGTGGTGGCTTTTCCCCACCCTGTGTTGGTGACACAGCTAACTGGTCAGCTTGGGACCAGGGTGGGGGCTGGCAGTGGTTTCTCTACGGTTCCTTCATACTGGGTTGGAATTCACTGCCTCTGCCCCTGCCCCTCCATCCTAAGCTGTTGTATCTTTAAAACGCATGTGAATGACTCCGGAGGGTGAGAATAGATATCAAGAAAATGGGGGTTCTCCTGGAAAACTGCCCTTGACCTTTCTCTTGGAGATCCTTAACTGTGTGCCGTAGCAGTGAGCCTGCAACTGTGTACTGAAAATGGAGGAAGCACTGATTGTCTTTCCTTGTGATGGTAACAGGTGGGACTGCAGGTCACTTTAACTCTGTTTACCTAATATTAGCTCTAGCGTGTCTGCGTTGAGATCATAAATGTGTTAGATAAAAACACTTAGGTTAGAAGTATGTTATCAAATGTCCCATTTCACTTCAACGGATCAAGGTATAGACATTTGTAAAATAATTGACAAGGAGCATCCTGGGCACATCTTCTCCCTGGGGTGACTCATAATGGGTAATATGTACATTTTCGTGTTATTTCACATAGTATCCATTTTCAAGGACTGATTACGTAACCTGTCATTTTTGACTCATAAGGAAAATTTTGATAATGCAATGAACTCGGCTTTGCATTTTTGGGTGATCACCTTTGCCTGTAATGTGACACTAGTGTTTCTGTCCCAAACAGTGACAGACATGGAAGGACATCACCAGGTATAACAAGCTTCTGTTCTTTGTAGCATGGGAGGTAGTCGCTTGACCTTTCTGTTAGCTGTGACCCACTGTCACAAGACGTAGCGTGTCCTCAGTACAGCAGTTGCTTAGATGCCTGTTAGTATAGCTGTGTTCTCTAATCATCCCTCATGTCTCGTTGTGATTTAGATACTGTGTTGCTCCCGAGTAATTCTTAGAAGCAAAGGCAGTAGCTGGGAGATGAAAATACTATTTTGGGATACACTATGCTTCTAAGCTGTTCTCATTTTCAAAAGCAAAGTTCTCCATCTTATCCTCAGTTACATAACTGAGGCTGTGCTGAATTATTCATAACTTCAGTCTTTAACATCAAGGCAGCTTCAACTTGGGGAGAAAATGAGAAAATAATGAATTGAACTCAATTTGCCAGAGGGTAGACAAAGTTCTAAAGGTTTGAAAAGGTGAACATCGTGGATAGAAATCAGAGCCCGGAAAAAAATTACTTTCTCTTTTCTTTAAAATTTCTCATCCCCAAACAGGCTCCCTGACTGGTAGCCCTCACCTTTCAGAGCTGTCCGTCACTTCCCAGGGAGGAGCTGCCCCCGCCACCGTGACCTTGTCCCCCAACCTGAGCCCTGACACCAAGCAGGCATCTCCCTTGATCAGCCCGCTGCTCAGCGACCAGGCCTGCCCGCGGACGGAGGACGAGGAGGAGGGCCGCAGAAAGGTGCCGGGCGGGGGGCCATGCCTGCGTGTACCTATGTGTGCGAGGTTTTCAATTGTAGTAAAATACACAGTGTAAAAGTGACTGTTTTAGCCATTTTCAAGTGTCCCTGCAGTTCACTGGCATTAAGTGCATCCACATTCTTGTGCCACCATCCCCCCACATACCTCCAGAACATACTCATTTTCCCAAACAGAAACGCCGCACTTGTTAAACACTAACTCCCCTCACCAGGCCTTGAACTTGCCTGCTGAGGTGCCTGAGACAGGTGGAATCATGTGGCATTTGTCTACCTGCGACTGGCTTAGTCCGCCCAGCTGAGCATCCTCAAGGCCCACCCATGTTCTAACGTGGGTCAGGCTCATTTCCTTTTTAAAGCTGAGTGATGCTCCAGGCAGCGCCTGTGGCTCAGAGGAGTAGGGTGCCAGCTCCATATGCCTGAGGTGATGGGTTCATAACCCAGCCCTGGCCAAAAATAGGAAAAAAAAAATGCTGAGTGATGCTCCTTTGTGCATCAAGTGTCAGTGGACAGTTTCGAGTTGTTCCTGCCTTTTGGGCGCTGTAAGCACAGTGTATAGGTGTTTGCTCAAACCTCTGCTGTCAGTTCTGTTATGTGCACACCCCGAGGGGGAATCAGGTGGGCTCCTAGGGAAGTGGGCAGGATGGCAGGCCACAGGGGATGTCCTGGTACTTACTGTTTCAAGAGAGAGCAAAAGCCAAAGGCCAGCCAGCTCTGCTGGGGTGCCGGCTGCTGACCTAACACACAGGCTTTAGGGAACTGAGAGCTCATGTCCCTTTAGATCCGGCCACCTGTCTTCCTACAAAGTCACTTTGATTTCACAAACACCAACAGGGCCACTGGTCAGCAGCTTGACGGAGGACCTTTGTGAGTTTCCTGGGGACTGTATCCCTCTAACATTTTCCTGATTTGCTGATGGTGATGTTTACACAAAAAGAAGAGTTCCTGAATTATATTCTCCTCCTGGAAATCTGATCTTTTGTGTGTGAGTGTGTGTGTGACAGAGTCTCACTCTGTCACTCTGGGTGGAGTGCCATGGTATCATGACTCACAGCAACCTCAAACTCTGAGGCTCATGTAATCCTTTTGCCTCAGCCTCCAGAGTAGCTGGGACTACAGGTCCCACCACCATGCCCAACTAGTTTTTTTTTCTGTTTTTAGTAGCAACAGTGTCTCGCTCTTTGCTCAGGCTGGTCTCGAACTCCTGAGCTCAAAGGATCCTCCGGCCTTAGCCTCCCAGAAGGCTGGGATTACAGGTGTGAGCTACCACACCCGGCCTGGACATTCTTCTTTTTTCCTCTAACACAAAAAGGAGAATAATAAGACTACATGAAAAGGAGAATAAATAAGACTTTTTTTAGCCTTGAGGCCCCTAACAAAAGATCTTAAGTGGGTAATAGATCACTTTAATTCGGACATTCTTAGAGACTTGAAAATGATTATTGTGCCTTGGGTTTTTGGATGGATTTTGCAGAGATTCCCGACTGACAAAGCGTACTTCATCGCTAAGGAAGTAGCCACCACCGAGCGAACATATCTGAAGGATCTGGAAGTCATCACTTCAGTATGTGCACTATTTCCCCTAAAGCATTAAATTACATAATTTATCTCAACTAATACTCTGCTTTACGAGAGAAGCTGGATTTAATTAAATGTTGAGTTCTCTGACTTCAGTTGAAAGGATTTTGATCCTGGGGTAAAGAATTTAAATGCCAATGATATATTCAATTTGGGATATGCTCTGTAAAAAATTCTGTAACTGTGATTTTAAGTGCAGAGGAAGGAAGTTCCCGAGGTGGGGAAAATTAAAATTAAACATTTTACTGTCCACGTGCACCTACCCAGAACATTTGCCTGTTGACAAATGTTAACTACTTACCTTTTTTGAGGGAAACCCCAGAGGTGAACAGGGGCCTCATTTTATCTTTGATAATAAATTGAGTCATGTCAGCACAGTCTGCCAGAAGAATGCCTTTTATGATTTTAATCACTCTTGTTCAGTCTTGGTAACAAATTTAGGCCACTGCAGATGTGCTTCTGACCTCTGGCTTCTGGGAATTAGCCAGTTGGGAGAGAAATTGGAATCACTGAGTTTCTGTTCCTCCTGGGATGTGTATTGTGTTTGGCCCTCAGCAGGTGGAACCTGATCCTAACCCACCTCAATGACAGGAATGAGCGTGTGGAAAGGCAGCTGCTGTATCCCCCGGGTTTGGCCACCTTCGCACTCAGTGTGTTAACAGGAGAGATGGGCATTCTTACAGGAATGAAGCAGCGGATAGTCAGGTGTCCTGTATTAGTGATTATCCAGTGAGTTAGCCAGCAGGAGGTTTGGGTTCTAATAGTTGTTCATGTAAGAGATTTGTCCTGGCTTAAATAATCAATGGGTCACAAGTTTCAGAAAGCAATGATATGGAAATGGACACTTCTCAGGCTACTTCCAGGAAGGACGGGGCAGGCAGTAAGAAGGCCTGGGCCCTCTGTGTCCCTGAGATGCTAACCTAGCAGTAAAACTCCGCCGTCAGTCACACATGGCTGTGGCATTCCTTCTGAAAAATTGCAGACAGTCTTCATTAGTCTTTATACCTCTAAGTGTGTTCTCTCTTTATTTCCAGTGGTTTCAGAGCGCAGTGAGCAAAGAGGATGCTATGCCAGAAACATTGAAATGTCTCATATTCCCAAATTTTGAACCTTTGCACAAATTTCATACCAATTTTCTCAAGGAAATTGAGCAGCGACTTGCCCTGTGGTGAGTACAGTCGTATTTCACAGTTCTTTCTCTTTCTTCTTCTCTTTCTAATATTATTTTTATGTTGTGCCTAAAAACAGCAGGCAGGAGCAAAAATGAAAGGAAAAACAGGCTTAAGACAGGTCAGCCTTCAAAAGATTTTCAGTTAAGTTGTGCGTGTATTTAGATGTCATTGTCAACAAGATGCATTCCACAGGATCATACGATTATCACAATATAAAGATAGTAGTTACTTTTGAAGGGCCATGGAGGGGTTGTAGTGAGTAGCTAGTTGCAGGGGTGGCCAACCTGTAGCCCATTGGCCACATGCTGATTTTGTGAGGACTTTTTTGCTTATCTGTGGTGTTGGATATCAGGAACTGATATCTATCTACACAGACCTCTTTTTGCCAATCAGCTTTCCTTAGTGTTTGTGTATTTAATGTGTGGCCCAAGGCAACTCTTCTTAGCCCAACCAGCATCCAGCAGAGAGGAAAAAAAGTTTGGACACCCTTGGTAGAGGCATGTGATGACTTAAAGGGATGTGGGAGTATTTCACCAGTGCTGGCCTTGTAGTCGTTCGTGAAGTACATGAATGATTTGTTACGTTTTCTGTTTTATATTTCACAGTGTTTAAAAAGTGCTTGAAAAATTTGGAGCCCGACACAACACACACTGCATCACATATACACATGTGCTTTTACCTGGGTTTATCATAAGGATCTATTTAATGTGTGAGATTCCATTTGAACAAATACATTCGATGCAGACGTCAGAATTAAAATGTCCATTAATAGCAGACTGGTTAAAATAATGTTCAGTCTCTCCATTAAGTACCAAATAAGACTTCATCTGGGAGAAGGAGGAGGAGGCTCAAAAAACATGAAAAAAACTTTGTGTGCTCTAGAATGCAACAGCTGATACACTCTTACCTAAAATAGAAACTTTAACAAAAAATTCTTACAATCTTTTTTAGAGACAGTTTTATGCAGGCGGACATATGAGAAGTTGATTGTCTGTTAAACATGGATTTGAAAAATGCCAGGAAAAAATAGCAAAAGGTTCTACTGTGTTTTTGGCAGAAATAGAACCCAGTCAATGGCTTATCCTCACCTCAGGGGAGAATCTGGTGTAAAGTGGTGTCGGGCATTTAGTAACAAGAGGTTGTCATACCTTGGGTGCTCTCAAACTGTGGCATTCGAGTTGCAGGTTAACTGCTGAGCTCAGCTGCTCCCCGCCTGGTGAGCCAGTGTGCCAGGGCCAGCGGGAGCCCTCTGATCCCCCTGAGTAGTGTCAGGCTTTGGACATTTCTTTATACCTGGAGGATAATTCGTGTGCAATTCACCTTCCCTTGAGAAAAAAGAACCTTCCTAAGAGGCCCCAGGAGGGAGAGCACAGCCAGAATTGATACATAATAGGTACAAAGTCAGCCTCCCTGGAAATGGGAAATAATCAAAAATGCCAACTTAGCTGGCAAGAGTCTTGGTATTATATATATAAGAGAAATACCACTTTTCAAAATGAAAAATAAAAATCCTACAAAATCTTTAACTTCCCAAACTCATCTGGAAGCTTTTCGCTTGTGTTCCTTTCTGCCTCTGTCCTGCAGAGCTGAATGCCGCCCTCGCCACTGTCTTCACCACGGGTCAAAGACCTCCTGGCTCTGCAGAACCCATTTAACCATTTGTGTTCTGGGCGTGGACACAGTCTTGAACAAATCTTCCTGTAGGTCAGAGCAGCTTGAGCTGGTGTCACTATAGCACTTTCAGTCCCTGTGGCAGTGGATTTAAATAACCTTGGCCATGTCATCAGTTTGCAGGAATCTGATGCATCATGGTGGCTTCAGCCGGCTCCCCGGCTGGAGGGCGCCACCCGAGAGAGATTTAGTGAACTGTCTGCTATGTCTCCTTTTAGGAATAAATGCCATACTTGTGGACTTTTCTGTCACCATAAATCTTTGACATCTGGCCCTTATCAGTGAAAGAATATCTGACTGCTTAGAAAGCAGCTGACGTCATTTGATTCCCAGAGGGTTTTCAGTGGCGTATCTTCCAAAGAGCCATCATTGTACCTGTGTTTTATAGGAAGATCCCAGAAACATGTAAAAGACTCAGAGCTAGAGAGAGAGCAGTGAGCAAGCAGCGTGACCTACATAGCCCTGCCACGGTGCACCCACACCAACAGATGACCTTTGTCAGGTGTCAGTGGAAAGGGCTGATTCCAAGTTCATTCCTCAAGTGTGATGAGGAAGACCCAGGGCTGCAGAGATTCCAAGGAAAAGGCTGAGTAGGAATGAGTTCAGTGTGAGCCAACAGACCAGCACGGAGAGAAACTGTGTCCCTCTGCATCAGCAGCCACAGCTCTGCTGGCTTATTAAAATCACCTGGAACCTTTAAAAAATCTTGGTAACCAGGCAGAACCTCAGACAAGTTATATCAGAATCTCTGAGAGTTAGTAGGTATTTTCTAAAGCTTCCCAGTGACTCCAAAGCATAGCCAAGGTCAAGAGCCTTTGCCCTAATCTACCTCCTTAGAAAGAGCCCAGACCGTGGACGCAGCCAGCCCCATCCAACGTCAGGGCTCTTCTGAGTTTCATGTTGAAATGGGAGGATGAGGATCATGCTATTAAAAAAAACAAGGTGATTAGAGGAAATTGGCCTGGGAGAGAAAATACTAGAAAACATGATGGCCCTCTTTAAATATCTACCATCCGTCCTGCAGTTAACATCTTCTAAAGTCATATCAGAAGACAAAATTGAAACAAAAGACTGACTTTCCAAAGCAGCAGACTGGCCGAATACAGAGAACGAGTTCCTAGGACTGAGTGCAGCAGAGCAGAGGGAAGCTTCTAGGACTGAGTGCAGCAGAGCAGAGGGACGCTTCTCTGCCTCCGACAGAGGCTGGCCATCCGTTTCCACAAGGGATTTATCTGTAGCAAAACCCCAAACTTGGTAGCACATCAGGGTCACTAGAGCTCAGGAGCAGGGGTGGCGGGGGTGGGGGGTGGGGGGTTGAGAAATGCAGATTTCCAGGCCCCATCCAGCCCTTTTGAATCAGAACTTTGGGGGTGAGATCCAGAAGTTTAAGTTTTTAAAGTCCTTCTTGGCATGGCTGTAGTGAGTACCTTTTCTGACCAACGTAAAATTCTACGATTCTTGGGTTTGCATGTCACAGACTGGTCATAATTCTTGTCTCTTCATAAGCGTGGAATAAAGGACTATATCAGTGAGTGGGTAGGTGAGTGTGGGAGCTGTGCCCATGAGGGACGGTGCTATTGGAGGCAGGAGGGTCAGGGCCTCATGTAGAGGCAGGTGCCATGTCCAGGGAGCCCGGGCTGCACTGCCAGTCTACACTGGAGAACACGTGAGCTATTAGCACATGAGTGGAGTGGGTCAAAGGAGGTCACACTGACCGCTGATTGACACACCTGTGCATGTGTCACACTGACTGCTGACACCTGGTACACATGTCACACTGACTGCTGACTGACACACCTGTGCACTTGTCATACTGACCACTAACTGACACCTGGTATGCATCTCACACTGACCGACACACCTGTGCACATGTCACACTGACCACTGACTTGACACCTGTACACATGTCACACTGACCACTGACTTGACACCTGGTACACATGTCACACTGACCACTGACCCACACACCTGTGTATGTGTCACAGTGACCACTGACTTGACACTTGGTATACATGTCACACTGACCACTGACCGACACACCTGTGTGCCAGTCACACTGACCGCTGACCGACACCTGTGTGCATGTCACACTGACCGCTGACCGACACACTTGTGCACATGTCACACTGACCGCTGACCAACACCTGTGTGCATGTCACACTGACTGCTGACCGACACACCTGTGCACGTGTCACATTGACCACTAACCGACACCTGTGTGCATGTCACACTGACCGCTGACCAACACACCTGTGCATGTGTCACACTGACCACTGACCGACACACCATGTGCGCATGTCACACTGACCACTGACCGACACACTATGCGTGTGTCACACTGACTGCTGACCAACACACCATGTGCACGTGTCACACTGACCACTGACCGACACACCTGTGCATGTGTCACACTGACCACTGACCGACACCTGTGCGCGTGTCACACTGACCGGCACACCTGTGCGCGTGTCACGCTGACTGGCACACCATGTGCACGTGTCACGCTGACCGCTGACCGACACCATGTGCGCGTGTCACGCCCACCGCTGACCGGCACACCATGTGCGCATGTCACACTGACCACTGACCAGCACACCATGTGCGTGTGTATTATATGTGTGTGTACACTTGTTTTTCCATTTTGTCTGAGAAACACAATTTGGCTCAGGTCGACTGGGATGCATGAGACCCGAGTTGGCCTTCCTGCCCCCGGGGTCTGTGTTCAGCTGTCAGCACCAGGTTGAGCCCATTTTCCTCATCTGTACAAGGCGGATTGGAGCTCACTTCCTAGGGCTGTTATGCAAAGTAAATGAGACAATATTTGTAAAGGGCTTAGTGTGCTACCATGCGCAAGAAAAGGAGGAGGCGAGCCTGATCTATTTAAAAATTCAATTTATTTATTTAAAGAGACAGGGTCTTGCTCTGTTTCCCAGGCTAGAGTGCAGTGTGGTGCAATCAAAGTTCATTGCAGCCTCAAAATCCTGGGCTAAAGTGATCCTCACACCTCAGCCCCCCAAATAGCAGAACTACAGGCGTATGCCACTATGCCTGGCTAATTTTTTAATTTTTTGTAGAGACAGGGTCTGACTATGTTGCCCAGACTGGTCTCAAATTCCTGGACACAAGAGTTCCTCCCAGCCTTGCAGAGTACTGAAATTATAGGTATGAGCCATCTAAACTGGTCTGATTTTTTTTAACTATATTTTTAATTATGAAATAATTTTACCTGTAATTCCAGCAACTCAGGAGGCTGAGATAGGAGGATCACGTGAAGCCAGGAGCTCAAGACCAGCCTAGTCAACATAGTGGGACACCTGTCTCTAGA